TCACTAAACCTAAAAAAAAAAAAAAAAAAAGGCGACATTTCAGGTGCGAGTGCTTGTTTGTTTACTCAGATTTACAGCACCTCTGAGGTTCTCCACTCATTATCCGCAAGAAGCGCTTGAGCTACACAGCTACATGCAGTAGGTTGTCTCATAAATCAGTTTAGCGGATAAAAGCAGAATGAGAGAGCTGATAAAAGCCTACAGTCTCATAACTCAGAACAGAGCTGCAGGCATGCTGTCTACACAACAAGATTTACAACGGAGGTGTCCTTCCCCTCCTTCCTCACCCCTCTCCTTCTCAGATACACAACACACACACACACACACACACACACCCCTTATCCAGAAGATCATTCATCTCCTTGTGCAAGTGACAACACAGTGTTGCCATTTACAGGCCTAGATTTATACTATGATGTGTATGCAAACACCCATTACAATAAAACTACTTTATATAATACACATTTATTGGGTTTTCTCACTTACAAACAAGCAACACTGTAAGACATTCACAACTCTTCAAATGTTTAGGGTTAGTAGGTGCACTTTTTAAATTATTTTTTGAAAGAAATTGATATTTAGCAAGGATGCATTAAATTGACTGAAAAGTGAGAGTAAAGACATTTATAATGTTACAAAAAATATTTCTATGTCAAATAAATGAGTTTCCACAATACTGAGCAGCACAACTACTTTCCACATTGATAATAGTAAGAAATGCTTCTTGAGCACCAAATCATCATAATAGAACGATTTCTGAAGAATCATGTGACACTGCAGACTGAAGTAATGACTGCTGAAAATTCAGCTTCGCGTCACAGTGTTATTTTAGTATTTTTATTTATTTTTATTATGGTTTGTTTTAGTTATTTTAATTAAAATGTTGCCTTGGCAACTAGCTGAAATAAATATATATATATATATAAAAGTGTATTTTATTTCAAGTAATTTATTTTTAATGCATTTTTATAGCAGGGTTACTATAATCCTGCAGGGGGAAAAAAATTCATTTTCAAAATTCTTAAAACAGTTATTTTAAATGATGATGATGATAATAATAATTCACAATATTACTGTTTTTCCTGTATTTTTGAACATATAAATGCAGCCTTAGTGAACATAAGAGACTTATTCAAAAATCATTCTAAAGTCTTACTGACCACAATTTTTTTTAATAATACTGTATGTTCAATGATAAACAAGAACCAATGATAAAAACAAACACACTCAAAATTAAATGAATTAAAAAAACATGCATGGCAGCTGACTTGGGCGTCCAGTCGGTTTGTTTAGTTCTCGCTTTGGGTTTTACCTACAGAAGGATGAGAAATTACAAATCTTCTGCCCTTGGGCAACGTTAGTGTACCGGGTACAGGCAAATCTGGCGGGGTAAAAATTCTTTCCATATGTGTAAGGCCCAAAAAATTGGGACTATCCCCCCCCTCTCTTATTCTCTGCCTCTGCTTTTTTTTGCAATGGTTGTCCTCTCTTCGCACGGTATATTTCTTTTTCCCGCTACGCTTAAACAAAATTTCCTTCGAATCACGAATGTCATGTAAACACATCACCAGAGAGTATTAGGATGAAATAAAAAATAAAACAACTGGAAATCAATCCCCAAGCCTCATAGACAGTTGTTAAGCATTACCGTCTGTTGCCCTCTGGCCCCTGCACTTCAGTTAAGTGTAGGTGCTCCCTGATTGATGATGTCACAGGTCAAGGGTCATGGAACCCTGGGTAGACACCTAATTCATTATATCCTCCATGGCTGGTCTACAAGAGGGCGCTTTAGCCGGATTAGGACTTGGGCTTCAGGGAAAGATTCATCATCCCAACAGCTGCTTCAGATGGATGCTCCAGACTGAAGCCACAACAGAACGGAGGGGAGGAGAGCAGCGGTGTTCCACTGGATGGTAACAAGTCGCCATGCACCAGCGAAGCCCCTGCTGAGAGGGAAACCACAGAGTTGATCCTGGCACAGACCCTCCTCGCATCTCCGGGGGCCTTCAAAGGAAGATCAGGAGAGAGGAGCTCCACTAGGTCAAGTCGTGTGAAGGACTGTGGGTGGCGTGTATGTAAGCCACACCTAGAACAAGAGTGAACAGATGTGCGACAGGGTTACTAGAATATGCAACACGCTGATGAAAGCAAAAGCGGTTTATGGGGCTATAATGAGGAACCCAAAGAGGCCAGGCTCTGAAACGTGAACGCTTACCGAGAGGACATGCGGAGCAGAGCTGGTGGAGGTGATGTCATGGTGATGAGCTGAGTTTGATGGATATCTGTAGGGCTACGGCTCTGTGTAGTTAATGCTGCTCCATGTGAAAGCCCGCAGGTGATGGAGATTTACCGCTGATTACAGAACCGGCTTTCTGACAAGATGCGCATTAAATAATGAAATAATGCAGCCCTAGATATCTGTAAAGGAACATTTCCTTCTCGCCAACATCTCGCCAACACCAGGCCTTGTCCAATCTCACTCAGTACATTTACACGTGCATTTATAATCAAGCTACAGCAGGGTTGTATGTAGACAAGCTGGATGAAGCTGAACTACCACATTTTCTATTTGTTCAACTTTGCAATAAATTGGTGCAATTTCAGTATGATTGAAGCATTTTAATTACACTTTGTTTGTTTTTTTAATTACACAAATAAGCAACAAATTACTGTTTTAATCTGACACATTGAATATTTAAAGTGCATGTTAAGTAAGGAAGCAATGATTCTAAAACTGACCAATATAGATAAGATGATAACTATTTTCATGTTATGGTCGATAAATGATCAATTCTATACTATTCTGTGAACAATCAATGAATGAATGAATGAATCAAATAAATTTGTAAAAATAAAGTAAGTTTGAGATTTTGTGAGATTATCAAAAGGTTATATTAAACAGTGTTAATTCATGTATTAAATATTAAATTTGCGAGAGTACTACAATTTAAAAAAGAGCAAAATAATGTAAATAATTAAATATCCAACACTGACTGCAGTATAATTTTAGTATTAATAATATACTATTATAGTATTTATTAATATATTCAATTAGCTTCTCTATTTTCAGTATTCATTTTAATTCTAGTTTACTTTTAGCAATTCTGTGTGTTCGTCATATTTATTAATTATTTTAAATAGTTCTATTTAGCTTTGTTTTTATTATATTTTAAGTATAGACAATACTTTAACATACTTTAAAATATTTTATTTCAGTTAGTTGACAAGGCAATTTTTTCATTTAAGTTCAATTTTAACTACAATTTATATTTTATGTTCTTAATTAAAATATTTATATTATACTTCATATATTATTTCAGCTAATATTTATGCTTTTTCAATTAACGAAAATGATTTTTAATAGTTTTAACTAACAAAAGCGTCAACACTGAATGGCCAAACACACACACACACACACACACACATTCGTTCATGTACCAGTACAAGCAGGCGTCCTTCAAAACAAACCACACACACATACACACACACACACATACACACACACACACACACACACACACACACACACACACACACACAAAGGCCAATATCAGTATCAGCCAATAACGGTACAATATATCATGTGTATCTCTAATCTAAAAGTACTGAGACACTCTTCATGAAGTTCCAACCAATCAGAAGCCACAGGGCTCTATTACAACCAAGCTGGGGGAAAAAGTCAAAAAGTGCCAAATGAGGCTCAAGCCAAACCCAAAAGAAAGCATTACTTAATATGGCATTTAATCTATTCCAATAGTCCAACAAAAAGCGCTTAAATGGCAGTCTGCACCAGCAGGGATTGAGGATAACTAGACAACCGCTTCATGATTGATTGACACCGAGAGCGAGCAGTGTGTTACAGCCGCTGGGGAAGTGACCGGGCCAAGTGTGCCCACACTGAGCGAAGACTGCTTAACACGTTCACACTGGGTTCCTCATCTGGGTAGACGGGTACCTCTGAACTCAGCCTGCCGGGCTTGAGCTTGACAGTAACAGATCTCCTCGTCTGAGCAAATGAAAGACAACAGCTCAAAGCGATTCACGGCCGCCCAGGGTCCTGCTGTTAGACGTCAGCACCTACCTGTGGGGCGCCCCATTAATACTTCATAATTATCAATTCTAATTCAGGCAGGCGGCACTTAGAGCCCCACTGTCTACACAAGACGGGGGGAATGCTGGTGAAAAACAAACTGAATTACAACACCAGTCTTTTCATTGGCCATCACTGATTCAACCACCGAAAGCGCCTGCAGGCAGTACTGTGTTCATCAACTGCTTTGATTAGCTCTGCCAATTAACTGCGAGCAAACTCCGCCCCGCTGTCAACTGCCCTGAGATTCACGTTTTAGTTCAAGGTTACAGATGGAAAACTCGTAAATATGACAAAAAGACATATTAATTATCTGTGAAAATAATTATAGGTTTCTGTAATGGGGGCAAAATAACTTTTTTAGCTGTGTTTAAAAAACACACACACACACAGTTGATATACGGCACTGAAGTGAAGTTGTTCCAAACACTATGA